GGGGGGAAGGGGGGAAAGGCATAAAACAGTTCTGAGAGGTTTCTGCCTCTGTCTGTGATTTGGCCACAGTGAGCAGGCGGCACACGCAGCCCCACACCCATGCACAGCTTCCGCTACACCTCACTTCCTTCTGCTCTGAAGAACTGGTCGCTCCTACTCACAGCTTCCCAGGAAGGGTCACATTACTGGCACCAGCTGCCTTGGAAACTGATCAGATCTCCCCCCCACCTCTGCTGGATCCACTACCGAGCCTCACCTCTGAGGATCAAAGCATTGCTGTAATTGAAAGCTCTCAAATTAAGCTGCACAATTCCCACTGGGGAAGAAGCACAGAAGCTGCCTGCTATGCGCAAATGCCTTCCTGGCTGCAGTTTGTTCAGTCAGGACATTAGACATCACCTGAAGATAGCATATTACAAGTCATGCAGGGCTTGTAAGAGGATTGCGAAAACAACACCTGGGTGGAGGACTCACCATCCTGCTCAGAGCCACAGGCCAGCTCAGCAAAGCCCTGCAAGCGACTGGGGTAGTCTGCAATCCCACCTACCGACCCCAAAGCGAACATCATCAAAAAACTTCCACAGAAACAAAACCAGAACCATCAGGAGTCAAACATGAAGAGACACACAGACGGGAGGGACTGCTCTATGGCCACAGTCTGTCAAAAGGAGGAACTAGTATGATCCTTCAGCTTTGCATGCTACACTGCGGGAAGCGACACCCTGGTCCCCCACTGGCAGCTGGTGGCTCCCAGCCCCATTTGCATCACAACCTCCTCAGTCCACTCTGGGGCATGACGCAGAGAGGCTATCTTCCCCTCCAGTGCCTCACCCTGCAAGAGCTCCCCTTGGCTCTCATTTTGCAAAGGGAAGGAAATACCATTAGCAGCAAACTTTCTGCCAAGGATTTGCAAGTGTTTGCAAGCTGCCCTCAGCCTCCACTGGTTACTCACACAAGGCGTATCCAAAACTGCATCCAAAAGATGTATGTTCACTAACCTGAGCAAACTGACTCTCTTGACCCTGCTCACCACAGTGCAAATGTCATCAACACTAAGGATGGTTCATCTGACTCTGAAGAAGACCTGTTCTGCTATTAGCCAACCACTCTTTAGAGGCATAGCACAACTGGATATTCCCCCCAACCCCAATCTGCTACTATATGCATATGGCACAAATGAGCCATGGGACATGCCAAGGATGGAGCTACATTACCTCAGCAGGGGTGGGGAGTCGGCTGGCTGTGCCCACAATGTGGTGGTACAGCCCTGGCTCACCATTCCTCATGGTGCTCTGGCGGCTCCCCAGGGGGCTTGAAGTGAAGGGCTTTTTACACAGGAGATCACTCTGGCGAGAGTCCGTGGTGAGATAGACCTGGTGGTAGAAGTTGGGTGGTGTGAAGCCGCCCCGCACAGCGTCAATGTGGTGGAAGGGCCCTGGTGTCCTGTACAGGGTGCTCCTGGAGCTGTTGAACAGCTCCTTTGACTGCCTCCACTTGTAGCACTTGAAGATGCCCACTGACAACATGGTGATGAAGAAAGCTGCTGACACCAAAATCACAGCCAGGATGAGATAGAAAGTAACATGCCTCCTGGGATCTTTGGCGGGTGCCATGTCAGTGAGGTCAGTGAGCACCTCCTTGACCATCTCAGCCACAGAGATGGAGACAGTGGCA